GCACCCTAGGAGGCAAGGCTCCCCCCTGCCCTGTGAGTGTCAAAGGAGAGGGACTTGTGTACTTTATATTGACTTAGAAGTGGAGCCTTTCAGCCTCAGATGGTTGGGGACGGGAGGAAAGGCAACGAAGTATGGGTTCCCCAGTCCTCTGATATGCAGCAAGTGGACTTCCTAGAATCGCAGGCCCTCTGGCCTCGCCACAAGGCTGTGGAATCCGAAGCATTAAGGAATTAAATGCTGACGCTCTGGGCACACATATGCCATAGGTACACACAGAACACGCTCCACCTCTTTGGGGGAGCCATCACTTTTGTGATAGAGGCCCGAGGAACAGGCACTGTTGGTCAGGCTTTGCCAATAAGCATTGAGAGCCAGGCCTCAGGTTGATCATGGGCCAAGCATGTCCCTGTTACTGATGGTGTCATTCCAAGATGAGCAGCAGCTTTTTAGAACCCCATGCTGGTGGTAGGGCCAGAGCTCTGTGTATTTGTATTGGATGCAGGAGGCTCTAGGAGGATGCATAAGGCCCTGGGTAACAGTCTCAGCACCACAAACAAAAATCATAAAAAGTAAAGAATAAGCATTCTTCATGCTACTAGGCTCTATTTTAGATGTTGTGTGTGTGTGTGTGTGTGTGTGTGTGTGTGTGTGTATGTGTGTATGCATGCATGTGTGCATACAGGTGTGTGAGCATGCATGCATGCACTTGGACTGGCATGTGGATATATATGCAGGTCAGGGGTCAATCTCAGGTATTCTTCGGAAGTCATCGTCTTCTTTTATGAGACAGGGTCTCTCACTGGGACTCCATAAGGATTATAGGCCAGCTGACCAGGGAACCCAGGCATGTGCCTGCTGCTTCCTCCCTGGCACCAGGCGCCATCTTGCCCAGCTTTGGGCATGATTGGTTCAAGATTGAGCTTGGTTCCTCATGCTTGTTTAGCCAACAGTTCCCTGAGTCATTGCCTGGCCCTGGGACTCTGTTCTTAATAAGAGTTCATGAGATGCAGAAATGCGGATCTCTCTCTTCCTTTCCTCCCTCCCTCCCTCTTAGTTAATGCTGCAGAAGCCTGACAGACCCTGCCTGCTTCCCAAACTAACTTCATTTCCCCTCGGCCCAGGGTAAGGGCACTTCCTCCTTTCTTTTCCTCCCGGAATCCCTGCCCCTTTGTCTCTGTCTCTAATTATCCAGCTGTTTCCTCTAGTCCTGTTACCCATTAAGTAAAGGCAGCCATTCCCTTCGGCAGTCTGCTCCCCTCAGTGCGGGACTGTTCTCTGCCACATAAAAAGCCACAAGTGGCTTTTATGGTCTCATACATACTTAATTAGTCCAGCTTCTCAAAACTGTGCTTTAAATGAGTAAAGGCATTAGCCCCCCTATCTAATTGCTCCGCAAAGCGTAGTTTCAGCGCAGCGGCAGGAACATTAAAGTGTTGGTCTAGACGAGTGTCGCTGGGGATCACAAGAGGATACAAGAGCAAAGACCCTGGTCGGAGGCAGACTAAGAGCCCGGGTAGGATCGGGATCTAAAGAACTGACTATTTGTGTCTTGCCTACCGTTGTCTGTTGGTATGACCCCGCCATGACCTTTACCTGGCATCATAAACATGCACTTTGTGAGAGAGTTTGAGATGGGACATTTGCTGAATTGGAGCTATTGTCGGGGTTCCAGGCTTGAGACACACTGTTTTCTGTGCCTGGCCTCATGCATCATGGCAGAAATAAAAAAATGACTATATGTCAGTGTCTCCTCCACTGTGTAGCCATCTGCCCCCATGGTGGAGCGTGTCACCAGCAGATCTACCCGTTGTGGCTTGCATCTTTGGGCCCTGCGCTGAAGGCTTCATTACAGCCTGCAGTGTTGGGAGGCAGGCAAGCTTAGTGAAAGGTACTTTGGTCACTAAAGATGAACCCCTGGAGTCCCCATCTCCTTCCTTCCTTTCTCATCTTACTTCCTGGCTTTTGTGAAGCAACAGCATCCCATTCCACCAAATAGTGCCCCCCCCCCATCATAGTCTGCCTATCCATAGATCTGAAATGATGATACCAAGTGACTTTGGACTGAAACCTTCCAAACGAGCCCTCGCAAATCTTCCTTCATGTTGTTTGTCTTAGGTATGTGTCACAGCAGTGGTGATGCTAAGACACCATCAGACTGTCTGGGCCCCCTTGCCTGACTAATCCCTGCTTTCTTCTCAGCCAGCCTTTTCTGTGCATCTTTCTAGACTCAACATGTGGTTCTCCACCTCCCAGTCAATTCCCCCTCCACACCACATCACCTGTTGAAAGCCATTTGGTCTGCCGTGCATGGTTCTGTCGCAGCAGAAAGAAGCGAATAATTGAAGCTCTTCGTTTCCCTTGCCCAGAGCTTTCAGAAAGAGCATCGTTTGGGAGCCTCTTAGAGCCCCCTTGTAACCAGGCCAGAACCCATTTATCTTCTGTTCTCAACAACTGCAATCTGGTATTCCGAGAAAGGAGCCATCTAATCTCCTAGCATGGGCTGAGTGAGTTGTGGGTTGGCCTTGGCCAGAAAGCACAGGGGAATTGGAACCAGAGTGGGAACCTTGGGTATGACAGAAGCTTCAAAGCTGCCCTGTGGGGCTGGCCCATGAAAGAGTGCTGAAGGAGAGAAAGATCCTCATCATGTGTCATCGCCTTAGCAGCCTTCCTCTCACCTTCCTTCTGGGGATCAGATTCAAAGCTACCCTGGGGCCCAGCTGAGTCACCAACGCTGTGGGAGCCCAGGTACTAAGGTATTAAGAGCTTAAGCTCTTCAGATGGGGCTAAGATCCTCTGGGCTCCGGGGATTTAAAATACATGTACTGAAAGGAAGCAAGGAGCAATAACCTGGCCACGCTGTCCTTTGACAGTATGGGCACACGGGGACGGATACCAGCAGATGGGACACGGCTGGAAGCCTGCCAAGGCTTTGGTGTTTATAACCGTGCCCCTATGTATAATCTTAGAGGAAGGGACTCTCCTCGCTGCCCTTTCTTTAACAGCACATACCCACTTGGTCCACAGACGTAGGGCAGTCTGCCTGAAAGAAAGTTCTCCTGCAATGCCCCTCCCTCCTTTCCTGTCTGTCACTGTGTGCTGATGAGGGACATCATCCATACCCTCCCCAAGGCCTCCATAGAAGCCTAGAGGTTTTGTCCACCTGCGTTCATTTCTTCTTTCTTCCAGCATTCCTTTCCCATATGTGGTGTGGCTGTTAAAACCCCGGATGCTCCCAGAGAATCACAGAAATACTGGTGTTCATCAGGTCTACAGCTCACCCTTTCACAGAGCCCACATGTGCATGGTTTAGGTTTATCCTGGCCCCGGCTCTTATTGTCGCTTCACAGATGAGCGTGTTAAAGCGCACAGTAACTTGATTACCTGGAGTTAGGATGAGGGTGAGCCCATGTGATACCCACCCTGGCCCTTGTACTTCACTGCCTTTCCTTACTTTCCTGCCATGAGATGGAAGGCTTTCCTGGCCAGTTGATTTGCACCATTATTCCAGCGTTCATATCCATCACGCTAGGGCTGATAGGATTATGATTTCTCAGCATCAGAGCCGAGGGAGGGTAACTGAGCTGGCCAGGGTCACAGTGGAGGGAGGAAATAGCAGGGATTCATCTCTGTTTTCTATCTCGGTGCCCTGCACTCCTGCCTCCACACTGCACGGACTGCCCTGTTCCTCACTGTGGTACTCCTCACTAACAATCCTGGTCAGTCCTCCACTTCGTCAGGAATTCATTCCCATCTTGTTCATACCTTCGTGCAAAGTGCTTCTTCCTGGCCCAGCAAGGACCTCGGTCATCTGCCAGATCTCTCATGACAGGGACAGCTGTCTTCCTGTGATACAGGTCACGGTCCCCACAAACAGGAGAGGGACTCCATCACTCCCTCAATAAGCCTTATGATAAAGTGTCACCCCTTGGCCCCCCAGGGTGGACTGTGCTTTGTTTTGTGAATGTGTTCTTTTATCAATAGATGTTCTAGTTGTATCTGTGTGTACTTTCCTGCCAGGTGGCCTTTTAAGGCCAGGTGTCCTCATTTTTCTGTCCTCTTTATGCAGGCCATTGCCAGGAAGATAGCATATGTTTGGTAAATATTGTCGAACAAGTACAGGCAGACAGGAATACAAAAGAGGGAGACAACGCAAAAATATCCCATGAAAATTTCCTGGGCAGGCTACAATGTTTAGAACAGACAGGAGGGGCTTGTCGTTGTTGTTTGTTTGTTTTATAAGATATTACTTTAGGCAAATCCGTGTCATTTAGAAACTCCCAGAAGGAAGGACAGCTAAGTATGATCCCACTACCAGGCCTTTTTGTGTCAGTCTGTGATCCCAGCTGTTTGGGAAGCTGTAGGAGGGAGGACCAAATAGGTTCAAGACTCTTCTGGCCTACCCAGTGAGTGCAAAGCCTTCCTGGCCAACAGAGAGTGCATTCAGGGTTGTCATGGCCTCCTGAGATGCTGTCTCCAAATAAAAAGTGAAAAGAAATCTGGGAATGTAGCTCAGTGGCAGTGTGTTTCCCTAGCACATGTCAGGGCTTGAGGTCAAATCCCTAGCACCCGGAAAAGAATGGACGGGTGGATGCATGGATGAATATATTATATTCTGTTGAGCTAAGCTAGCTAGCTGGTCAGCTTTGCTACCTAGGTTGTTTTGACTGGTAGAGCATATATTTGGGAGTGTGTAACCTATGGACGTTGGGACTTACGACGACTTTGTAGCCCCTCCCCTCCCCCATGAAGTACATGGTACTCTTGAAGATACAGGCAGATATTGGGAAAAATCATCTTTGATACCACGAAAGTGAATTCTCCAGTTAAATTAGGGTTTCAAACGAAGGGAATGCTTCTCCGATTCATTCATTGGGCTTCTACTTGCCTTTGGCATCTGGTGCCACGTTACCAGGCAGGTGGGAGGGTCCAGGAAGAACAGGGCGGTGTCTTGGAGAGGGTCTTCTAAGACAGACTTTGAAATTGCCTTTTCCCACCCTCAGGTGAGCGTGTTGACCACCCTGGAACGCAGGTTCAACCTCCAGAGTGCTGATGTGGGCGTGATTGCCAGCAGCTTCGAGATTGGGAACCTGGCGCTGATTCTCTTCGTGAGCTACTTCGGAGCACGTGGGCACCGGCCACGCCTTATTGGCTGCGGCGGCATCGTCATGGCCTTGGGCGCACTGCTATCCGCACTGCCAGAGTTCCTCACCCACCAGTACAAGTACGAGGCTGGCGAGATCCGCTGGGGCGCAGAGGGCCGCGACGTCTGTGCCTCCAATGGCTCCAGCAGTGATGAGGGGCCTGACCCCGACCTTATCTGCCGTAACCGGACAGCCACCAACATGATGTACTTGCTGCTCATTGGGGCTCAGGTGCTGCTGGGCATCGGTGCTACCCCCGTGCAGCCCCTGGGGGTCTCCTACATTGACGACCACGTGCGGAGGAAGGACTCCTCGCTCTATATAGGTAGGCGCTGCTTCTTCTGTATGTGTCGGTAAACTGGTGCAAAGTTGGGACCCTGTTTTCCTGGGGCATTCGTTCGCGGAACTGGCTAACCATCTCCAGGGTTTTGCAAAACAGCGATACCCACATTTAATGCCCAGGAATTCTCACATGCGTGATGCAGGGGCCAACCAACTAAAGCACTTTCGAAAATCTTTCCAAAGGATGTTTAGATGCTTCCTGCATCTTACCAGACCTTGGAGGGGAAGATCTGGTCTGGAGGGGTTTGGGATTAATCTGGTGTGTGTGTGTGTGTGTGCGCGCGCGCGCGCGCACACACACACACACACACACACACGCATAGTGCAGAGAGATTTGGGGCTTCCTAGTGTTCACCCAGATATATTTGGGGTTTTCATCCAGGAAACCTAAACTTTGAAGAATCAAAACCATCACCTCTTATTTTTCCCCCATTTTGGACCTAAACCAAGGCAGTTGATTGCACTGTTGGCATTTGGTATAACCCAAAGCTGGTGACTTCTGGTAATGTTTTCACTAACAGTCCACTCAGGAACTGGGTTTTTAGGAAGAAACGAAGGATGTGCAAACTTTAAAAACCATTTTCTGCTGTAGTAGTTTCTGATATTTTAGACCAGAGAGGTGGAGGAGCCCCATGGTCTAGGGTTTCCAGAAACAGCTAAGTGGCAGTTTGCTCACGTGACAAATGATGTCCTTGATCAAGTGCAGGTGGCTTGAATGGTTGCTTGCCAGGTATCTCCAGCCCTGACTTACTACGTCTAATTTTGCCTCCAATGGAGACATTCTCAGTCACTGAGTGTGGAACTGAGAAAATGACCTCTACCTGAGCAATGTCACTGGCATCAATGTGCCTTGAGGCATTAAGCTCATTCTAAAGGCTTAAGTGAAAATCGAATTTGAACCAAATTCGACACGAGCTTCATGTCTACCAGGCTTCTACTTTATGCAGCCCGGGATTTATGAGGTAGGATAGATGGGAGCAAGGTAGCCACCAAGAGGCTTGCTGTAGAGTTGATGCCTTGATTGAACAGGTGTGTTCGATATAGATCTGCGACCTTTACGTGAGAGGAGCTGTGGGCGGGAAAAGTAGAGAGAGCACCTTCCTGTCCAGATCTGGAACAAGGCAAACCCAGGGAGAACCTAATTGTGTGATAGTACTTAGGACTGTTGAGTTAAAGACGCACAGTCCTGGCCCCCTCTCTCCATATGGCAAAGGCTTGGGTTGTAGCTGGGCAGGGTCCCGCTGATGTGGCAACTTAGGTGACCTTTTCATTTTGCTGCTGTTAAACCAGCCTGTTGTTAAAACGGCATCCAGAACTTTAGGTGGACAATTGGTCTTCGATTTGACTGATGTCACCCCAGAGCCCTGGGAAAGAGGTTTTCTGGTAGCAGAAACAGATCACACACACCATGTGGAAGGAAATGGGCAATGAAACATTGAAAAATCTCTCCCTAGAAATCATTCCAGATTTCTTATTAGCTCTCAGTCAAGTAGGTTTAGGGCTTCTTGAACATTCCCTTGAACCTCTCTTCTTCGGGAGATGTTCTCTGATGAGTTACTCTCTGCTATTTCTCCAACTGGATTGGATGTGAATTGTTTGCTAAGGGGGCATTTGGGTTTGGGAGATGGAATGTCGACCTAAGAGTAATAGGACAAATCAAGGCAAGATGCTTTTTTGAATTCTCTTGTATTGTCCATGAGAGGTGTCGTAAGCTTTTGGTAGGAAATTGTTTTCATCCAAATGTTTGCTTGGGCTCTCTTTTCTCTCTACAGAAGAGTTAGTTGGGTGTTATTTTTGCACAATACCAAGATATTGTAGTGCTCTGGTCTGTCTGACCAAATTCCAAAACATCGTCATCCACAACTGTGCAGATAGCTGTTCTGGGTCTCTCTGAAATAGTTTCATGGATCTGTTTAGAGGGAGTAGCCGAGGGCAAGCCTTCTGTACAGATCGGCCTTCATAGGTGGCTTTTCACTGACGTCTCTAAGAGCAGTTTCAGAAGGCCGTAGCATATGCAGAGAGAAGGCTTATTCGTTTATGGCAGGGACCATAAAGACATGGCCACGGTCATGAAACTGTCACAGCATTTATCTAGTCTAATTAGGCCCTGGTCCTGGAAGCCTCTTAACGTGGCTTTTGAACGTATTTGATGGAGCCCACTGCAGAGAGGAGGGCTGTCGGAAGTCAGGGGGATATGAAGCTGAGACCATAGGTATAGATGTGAATTATATGGGAAGTGAGAGTATTTGTTATACCCAATTCCAGCTCCAGAAAAGCTTGTCTGGAGGGAGCCTTTTTTGTCAACATGCCTACTTAATTCTGGATCAGAGATGGAAGCAATACGCATGCTATACATGGAACATGCTTGTTTCCAAGTAATCCTTTCTGTGTGGGCCTGGAAAGTCAGCCTACACTAACTAGACTGCAGGCCATCAGAGACCAGACCTGTTGTTAGTTGTCTTTAGAGTAGGTCACCAGATGAGTGCTGGTCACACATCTATAGCGAGGTCATGGACTCCCACATCCAGACAAAAGTGAAGCTCTTCTGCTGAAGTCCCTCCAGGGTTTCCTACTGAAATTCAGGCTATTTCCACTGACTCTTGCCGAGCTCCTGAATTCTTGCATGGGCCATTCAAAAGGCCAGCCCTGTTCTGAAGCCAGTCTTTTCGAGAATGAAGAGGGAGTGGAGGCTGCTTATTACCAGGGGACAAAACTGGATGAATGAGGACTCAGCTCTCCTGGCAGCCTTTTCAAGACATTTCAATACGGCAGCATGTGGGGTTCAGCCTCACAGGATGGCCGGATAATGACCTGTGGGTGGCGCCTGTCACTGTTTGTTTCCATGGGGACTGAGTGGGCAGGGTGGTGGTGGAAACTGTTTGGGCCCTCCTGAGGTCCTGAGGTCTAAGAATCAACCCTTTAGGAATGAAGTCATGTCTTAACTCCACGTTGTGACCAGCCTCGTTTTCTTAGCCGTCCTTTTGTCTCTCCAAGTTCAAACTCATCAAGTGGTATTTGCTTTCTCTGGTAGTGTGAGGGGATATCATACACTTACTTTACAGCAGCCTTTTACTGGGTTGCTACTTCAGTTTGTTGCTGCTTTATTTATTTATTTATCGTTTTTAGGAATAGAAAGGTAAACAGATAATGATAATGATTTTCTTAAATAACTAGAGAAGGTATTTATCACACATTTCCCATTAGCAGGTTTTGAAATATAGGAAAAAGAGTAACAAGAGAACAGTTACTCCTGGCTTTGTAGTATATATAATTCTAGTCTCTTTTTCTGCATTGATGTCCTTTTCAGCAAAAGTGCACTTATAAGAAAAAAAAAAGATTTTGTAATTTCTCAATTTCTCTTAATATTTCATGAGCTTTGTTGCCCTGTTACTAAATATTCTTCTGTGGTTCTTGCTGCATACAAAATATTCCCCTGTGAACGTACATCATGTAAGTAATGTAGTCTGTTGTTAAAACGGAGTTTTCAGAATTTCTGCTGTCAGAAGGGAAGTGGATGGCTAAACTGTGATTCCTAGAGATTAAATTATTTACCCCTAATCACTTGTTCTGGATGTTGGCTGGGCTCTGTCTGGGAGAGTGTTGCCTATTCCAGGGGTATCTGGTATCAGAGGTCCATTCAGAGGGCTGTGGTTGGCTGGTGGGCGCGTGGTCCAGGGTCCAGAAGAAGTCAAGGACTTTCACCAGAGTGCTTGGAGCCTTCAGGAAATGTCAAGTGTCGTGAAGGGGGAAGAGATGGGATGGTATTTGAAGTCCAAGGAGGGAGGTGCTGTTAGTGTGAATAGTGGGGGGTCCAAACTAGAAGAGGGGTGCAAGAATAGGATAGAGACAGGAGGTGGGCATAAAGGGTTCTGGAAAGAGATGTATTCTTGTTCTGTCATATATGAAGATGAATTGAGATCAGAGCTCAGCTCCTCAGACAAGGCGGCTGGTAGAGTCTCCCTTCTGCTCCAGCATTGTGGGCAGTACACCACGCCCACTCCTCCCGTTCTCAATTTGCTGCGGCCATGGGTACTATCCGGGAGTTGGCCTCACAGCGTGGTGGAGCTTCTCCTCCTCACAGCTTCCTCTGACCATCTTTCTCACTGTGTACCCTGGGCCCAACAGACACATTTCTGCCCTCCTTTCCGTAGTGTGGTGACTCCCCTGAGTACCAGCCTTGCATGGGCAGGGAAGGGCTACTGAAAGCCCGAGTCTTCCTTGCTTAATGGGTTCCATCCTCACTTCTACTTCAAGGAGAGGTACCAAGGAATCAAGAACTGGAGGACTGGACCAGACAGAAGACAAAACCAAGTGAATGGAGGGCTTAGGACATGTAGGCTGTGCATCAGTTTGCTGAGCACAACACCCTTCACTGGGCAGAAAGAAAATGTTTACTCGCCATTCTTGAGAGGTTAGGGGTTCAAGGTCAAGTTTGTAGGTCAGGCTGGGATTTCCTGAAGCCTCTCTCTGTAGCTCGGAGAAGGCTACCCTACTGCTGACTCGACTCTGGCTCTAGGCCCACGTGACCCTGGGATGACTTACTTACATGACCTCAATTTCCTTCTCTAACAAGGCAAGTAGTCTGATTGGGTTAGGACCCATTTGTGGATGGGGTTGGGGGACACAACATTTAACCCCAATGACCTCTTCAAAGGCCCTATTCAACTAATTATTTAATGATAGAGTCACCGATAGTTTCAAAATATAGAGAAGTCCCCTGCACCTTTCATTTAGATTTTCTTCATGTAACATAATGATAGCTCAGTCAGTAAAGTGCTTGCTTTGTCAGAATGAGGAGCTTAGTTTGATCTTCAGACCTCATATTTAAAATATACCTGACTTGGCAACATGTGGGGTAATTCCAATGCTGGGGAGGTGAGATGTGGACCCTGGGGGTTCTCTGGCCAGCCAGCCTAGCTCCTTTGCCAAGTTCCAGCAGTGAAAGACTTCTCAAAAGAAGGTTGCTAGTGCCTGAGGAGAGAG